TTGGGCAGGAGTTAGCCACTGCCCATCCTAAGCACTTCAGCCCTTAAATCCTTTCCTTTCCTTTTATTTATCAGCTTCATTGACCAAAGGTCTTAAGCCAAGCATACAAACAGCTACTATAAAGCACATGGCATATAATTACAAAATAATCTAGACCAGACATTTTAACAATAAAAGGCTAATAAAGGTAAAGGTTCCCTTGCTTGAAAGCCCGTTGAATTGGGTTGCGGTGCTCATCTCCGTTTCAAAGCCGAAGAGCCAGCGCTGTCCGAAGACGTTTCCGTGGTCTTGTGGCCGGCATGACTAAACACCAAGGCGCACGGAATGCTGTTACCTTCCCACCAAAGTGGTACCTATTTATCTACTTGCAATTTTTTGCTTTCGAACTGCTAGGTAGGCAGGAGCTGGAACTAGAGATGGGAGCTCACTCCGTCATGCGGCACCCGGGTCTCGAACTGCTGAACTACTGACCTTCCACAGCCTGCAGTTCAGCGTCTTAACCACTTGAGCCACCGCAGCTCCTATAAAAGGCTAATAAACATACTCATAAACAATATTAATAGACAGCATTTTATACAATTCCCTAAATTCTGTGCAATCCCGTGATATTATGGAAACTGGTTTTAGAATTTTAAAATTTATATACATAAAACTACCTACAGCATTGCAAAGCCGCTTTAAAAATAACACCGTCAATGAAATATTTTGCCACCAAGCGAGTTGGTACAGGGTCCTCATCTGCTAGCAATAAGGTTATCACCCATGGTTCCACAGGAAGGTGATATCTTTGTAAAACAGGAATAGTCCAACAGGATCTGGGGCCAACCCACTGGTGGCAAAATAAAATAAGATGATCTAAGGTCTCTATTGTGCCTGATCCACAATCGCACAATATACCTGAATACTGTTTTTTAGCAAAATGGCCTCTTAACTCTGCAGTTGGAAGAACATTCAACCTAGCAAGCGTGGAGACACATCTACGGGATGTAAAGAAGCTCATATATGAGGGAATTTTCAGGGTGGTTCCAGAGCACTGGATGGACCCTTAAGTGCTGGAAAGCCCTGACGTTCGCTCACAACACACAGAACCAAAAGGACCGGTGTGGAACACGAAAGACGTGTCTGTCTTCTATAGAGGTTCCAAAATACAGTCTCTGCCCCCACAGATACCAAGTGCACAGGGAACACCTAGCTAAAGTCTGACAGGTGCTTTTCAACTTGGACAGGAAGCTTGGTTTGCACAGATCCCCAACGTCCTGCACTCCAGCTGTCAAAATGCTCCCTTCTCTCCAAAAATGGGAAATACCCTTGATCAGAGCACAGAGATCATCAGAGCCCACCCCACGTTCTAAATCAGGAGTCCCCAACGCCAACGTGGTGCTCAGGGGCCCCGTGCAGTGTTCCCTCTAAGCTGAGTTACTGTGTGCTAGCTTACAGTTTTTGCCTTAGCTCAGGAAGGATGGCTCCAGAGCAAACTAATTTATGCAGCAGCCCAATCACTCGCTCACAACTTTAATGCCAGTCGATCACAAAGGAGAATTTTTGCTCACGAGACTCCACAGCTTAGAGGGAGCATTGGCCCCTTGGTGCCTGCTGACCCCTTTCCTGGCACCTGCCAAACGCTTTTAGAAAGTGGGCGGGACCAGATGGGGCTTTGGCCCAGCAAGGGTTCTGATTGGCCACTGGAGATCTGAGGGGCTGTCAAGATTTTTCGAAAGGCTGCTTTGGCAGTAGCTGCTACCACGGCACAAAGACCTTCACGGTGTGAAGGAAGTTATTTCGTGGCTGGCTTCGCCTCCCGCCATGCTGAGTCCGAATTCCAAAGCTGCCCAGAGGCTCAAAATGTTGGGGACCCCCTGTGCTAACCCACATCCAGTCACGCCGCCCTCCCTGCTGCTCGATTCCACGACTCTCCCTAGATGCTCCATTCAGTCAAATTCTGTCCCTCTTTCAAGACATGCACAGAGCAGTTCTTAATAGATTACAGGCTGTGTCCCTCTCCGGATCAAAAGTAGACACGCGAATGAGAACACAGCATCCCTATGTCAAAAGAGCCAGCAACATTCGAAGGACGGTTTCTGAAAACAATCCCGATTGCTCAGGTAAGAGACACAAAGCAAACGCAGGGGGAAAAGATAAAAAGCCAAGATCCCTAGGGGGTCCCTCCCCCAGCTGGCCAGAGAGGGGGGGAAATATCCTCCCAATACTCCAATCCAATCCAAATGCCTTTACTGGCATAAAAAAGAAGAAAGATATAACATGGCAAATTTACAGAGGATTTCAATTATAAAATCAGGCATCAGATCGGGGAGCTGATCTTTTGCTCCCCTTGCACCTTGCAACTAAACTTGTAATTACTGAGATATATGTCAGAGTATATGAGGTAGCAAGCAGTTACTATAGATCAGTTTGATCTATTTGACAGACCTAGCTATGACAGACCTAGCATGACGCTAGTAATCATGTAATTACAGCCAGGTGTTTTCTAGCAGGTGTTACTCTTTTAGGTCTTGTTAGAGTTAGTGATTACATCACCCTGTTAGAGATTGGCTGGGGTTCAGTATAATAGCTATCTGTTTAGTAAGCGGATGGGGACTTAGTTCTCATAGACTAAGGCACGACATGCTGTTCTATAGCCTGTAAATATCTCTATAAATACCTTTATAACTATATAAACTCTCTGTGCACCTTCATAACTGGTTAGTCTCCCGCTTCTTATTTACAACACCCAATAGTAATATGGGAACATCGGTCATATAGTAAAAATGATACTAACCTCGCTTCAGGTAAACCGTGAAAGTTAGACACAATAGGTTTGATTATACAGTCCCGTGCTTCCCCATAAAAATCACAATTGAGTAAAACATGGGCTACCGTTTCGAGGTGCCTTCCTTTCCGTGGGCAGAGTCTTTCTTGATAGGGAATGTTGGCAAACCTCCCAGACAATACCGCTGAGGGAAAAATATGCCAATGAGAATGCAAAGCAACCCTCCCCCCGCCCAAGCCAAGAAGCTTCTTTGCTTCAGAGTGGGGCTGCTTCCAACACTCTTTGAAAGAGAGCCAGTTTGATGTAGTGGCTAGAAGCACGGACTCTAATCTGGGAGAACCGGGTTTGATTCCCCACTCCTCCACATGCAGCTGCTGGTGTGACCTTGGGTCAGTCACAAGTTCTCTCAGAACTGTTCTCTCAAGAGCTCTCTCAGCCCCACCTACCTCACAGGGTGTCTCTTGTGGGGAGGGGAAAGGAAAGGAGTTTGTAAGCCGCTCTGATACTCCTCCAGGTAGTGAAGGGCGGGGTATAAATCAAATCTTCTCTTCTTAAATTCCGAACTGATGCAACATATTTTGGGAGGTACAAAGAGAAGCCCTGACTTGAATAGCACAGGTTAGCCCGATCTCAACAGATCTTTGAAGCTAAGCAGGGTTGGCACTGGTTAGAACTTGGATGGGAGACCTCCAAGGAATACCAGGGTCATGACGCAGAGGCAGGCAATGGCAAACCACCTCTGAATGTCTCTTGCCTAGAAAACCCCATGGGGTTGCCATAAGTCTGCTGTGACTTGACGGCAAAAAAAAAAAAAAAAGATGCAGCAGACAGAACTGTTTAGTTTTGCTTGTATATGACGTAAAAAAAAAAAAAAAAAAGATGCAGCAGACAGAACTGACCCAATAGGCGCTTGATGTTCTTTTGTTTCTTGCTTCTTAATAACCAAAGAAGAGGCAGAGACGCAAAGCAGCCAAAGGAAAGGAGTTTGTAAGCCGCTCTGATACTCCTCCAGGTAGTGAAGGGCGGGGTATAAATCAAATCTTCTCTTCTTAAATTCCGAACTGATGCAACATATTTTGGGAGGTACAAAGAGAAGCCCTGACTTGAATAGCACAGGTTAGCCCGATCTCAACAGATCTTTGAAGCTAAGCAGGGTTGGCACTGGTTAGAACTTGGATGGGAGACCTCCAAGGAATACCAGGGTCATGACGCAGAGGCAGGCAATGGCAAACCACCTCTGAATGTCTCTTGCCTAGAAAACCCCATGGGGTTGCCATAAGTCTGCTGTGACTTGACGGCAAAAAAAAAAAAAAAAGAGGAAGAGAGACGGGCGCTTGATGTTCTTTTGTTTCTTGCTTCTTAATAACCAAAGAAGAGGCAGAGACGCAAAGCAGCCCCGTCCCCATCAATGCTCCCTCTAAGCTGTGGAGTCTTGGGAGCAAAAATTCTACTTTGTGAACTCCTGGCACTGAAGTTGCGAGCGAGCGATTGGGCTGCTGCATAAATGAGTTTGCTCGGGAGCCATCCTTCCTGAGCTGAGACGAAAAATGTGTGAGCCGGAGGCTAAAAACTGTGAGCTAGCTCACATTAACTCAGCTTGGAGGGAACACTGCTCCCCACCATATTTAACTCACCACAGACAGCAAAGATTCTCCTGACTAGTCATCTCCTCTCCCCACCCCAATCGGAGAGCTGTTTAAAATCTGCCAGTCAATGGCACGGCCGTGCAAGCAAGAGCTGGTCTTCTACTGCCCACTTGTGGGACAGACGCAAAACTGCAGCCGTGGTGCCGCATGACATTACGTGCCGAGAAAACTCCCGCAGAGACACTGCTGCCGCCAACCCCGGATGGCCCAGGGGCTTGGAAGTGTTACAGCCTCACCCACGCCTGCCCCAGCCTGGATTTGGTACCTGCAAGGCAGAGTTCATGAAGCAGGTGTTGCCTAGGTTGGTGAGGCCGCAGACCCCCGGCTGGCCCTGGTACAGTTCTTCGTCCTCCACCGAGTTCTTCCTAAGGGAGGCAGGGGAAAGGGGGTTTCAGAAGACAGCCGGGTTGGTCTGCAGTAGAACTGTTATCTTTGAGTCCAGGGGCACTGTGACTTCCTCACTTTTTGGGGAGACTGTTTCTCATTTAAAACACACACTGTGTACATGAACTTAGTAGATTTTCTGCTGCCACCGGGAATTAAAAATTCCAACTCTCTCTATTTTGGTAGAATGACCCAGTGTCTGGGCGCTTCAGAGGACTATGTGGCCCTGAGGAAGGACTGTTCTGATTGCTGGGATAAGTTTAAACAAATAATGATTTATTTATAAAAGAACAAAATACGTTTCTGGGTATTTTTGAACTGTTTTTGAAGAAAGAAAATATAACTAACAAGGCTTGGCGTCACACACAATCCCTTATACACTAAAACTCAGCTCTGACAGGCTTATCTCTCTCTCATGTATATAGCCACACAGGCTGAACTTTCTTGCTCATAGCCACACAGGCTAAACTTTGCCTTCCTTAGCCACACCGGCTAAACCTTCTCCAACTGCTTCCTCTGTCACACAGACTCTCACACACACGTCTATTCAAGAACACAGAATCATCTCATAGACATCTCTCCTCTCATACTCTCAGTCATCAGCCAATCACATCACACTTCTCTACCACTATCACTCTTCTTACATTACTGCAGTCACACTAAACATTTAAAGAAACACATACACCAAAAACGGAATCATTACAGGCACCTTAACAGACCAACAAGAGTTTGAGGGTAGAGCTTTCAAGACTCAAAGCTCCCTTCTTCAAACATGAATAAAGTCCTCTTATCCTAGTCAGAAGCTGGGAGGGAACTGGGGAGTTGTCAAGAATTCTTGTAGAGGATGCAGAGGTACAACACATATTGTCACCAGCTTGATTAGAGAGGAAATGCTTGGGGGGGAAGGAAGGCTGTGAAAGGGGGAAACCAGAACACCAAGGCCTATCCCAGTTTGATGTAGAGGTTAAGAGCATGGACTCTAATCTAGGAGAACCGGGTTTGATTCCCCACTCCTCCACATGCAGCTGCTGGTGTGACCATGGGTCAGTCATAAGTTCTTTTTGAGCTGTTATCTCAAGGGCAGTTCTCAGGAGAGCTCTCTCAGCCCCACCTACCTCACAGGGTGGCTGTTGTGTGGAGGGGAAGGGAAAGGGGATTGTAAACCGCTCCAAGATTCCTTTGAGTAGTGAAGGGCGGGATATAAATCCAATCTGTTCTCTCTTCTTCCCTAGCATTTGGGATAAGGAACAGCAAATGCTTGCAAATTCGGACCATTCTGGATCACCTGCCATCCAAAATGTAGCTGGCCCTTCAAGCAGGGAGGCCAGTTCTCAAGTTCTGCAGATTCAGCAAGGGGTACACAGATCCCCTTTGGGATGGCGCTAAAGGCCAGAATGAGATACTCACATGATATGTGGCCTGGAGCTGGGCCAGGTTCCATCTTTGCTCCTGGACTCCATTATCACCATCTAGTGGAAGCACGTGCAATAAGGTGGTGGGGTGGAAAGAAGAGGACAGAAAGGAGAACAAAAAATAAAGAAAAAGAAAAAAAGTTATTAACTGAAGCATATCTGTACAAACTGTAACCCACATCCAAAGTTAGTATCCCTTCAAGCCAGTGAAAGGGGGGGGGGGAGAAAACAAGAAAGCAAAAAAAAAATTTATAACGGGCGCTTTCACACATACTAAATAACGCAGATTCAATCCACTTCCGCAACCATTTTGCAAGTGGATGCTGCCATTTCACACAGTAAAATCCAGCTGCAAAGTGCACTGAAACTGGATGGAAAGCGTGTTATTTAGTGTGTGTGAAAGTGCCTGTTATGGTGACAATCACAGAGCAACTTGTACAGAATCACACATGCTTCAAAGCCAGCCAGACTGTGGGTGCTGGGCGAAGACAATGGGTCCCATTTGCAGGCCGCCCTCCCCCCCGTCCTTTTCTTAAACTCACAGATGCAGCCTCTGCCCCTCCATCTAGTGTCACTCCTCTTGTCCTTTCTCGGCACTGGAAGCCCTCAACAGGACTAGGGATAGTTTGACTCAGACCCGCCAGCTAGATTATTTTCAAAGGATGGGCATCTTGGATGGGACAAAGGGTAAGGGACAGGGTGGGACGAGAGAAAAGGGCAGCATGGAAATACCCAAAGAAGAAAGATGGGCTTGCCAACATCCAGGTGGTGGCTGGAGATCTCCCAGTATTACAACTGTTCTCCTGACAACAGAGAAGAAGAAGAGGAGATTGGATTTATACCCGGCCCTTCACTACCCGAAGGAGTCTCAGAGCGACTTACAGACTCCTTTCCCTTCCCCTCCCCACAACAGACACCTTGTGAGGTAAAAGAAGAAGAGATTGGATTTATACCCTGCCCTTCACTACCTGAAGGAGTCTCAGAGCGGCTTACAAGCTCCTTTCCCTTCCCCTCCCCACAACAGACACCTTGTGAGGTAAAAGAAGAAGAGATTGGATTTATACCCTGCCCTTCACTACCTGAAGGAGTCTCAGAGCGGCTTACAAACTCCTTTCCCCTCCCCTCCCCTCCCCACAACAGACACCCTGTGAGGTAGGTGGGGCTGAGAGAGGTCTGACAGAAACTGTTCTTTTTCAAGAACAGCTCTTATTAGAACTACGGCTTGCCCAAGGTCATCCAGCAGCTGCAAGTGGAGGAGTGAGGGAATCAAACCCAGTTCTCCCAGATTAGAGTTCGCGCACTTAACCACGACACCAAACTGGCTCTCAGTTCTCCTGAAGAAAATGGCTGCCTTAAGAGGTAGGATCTATGGCATTCTACCCTGCTGAGGTCCCTCCCCTCCCCAGACTCCGCCCTCCCCCAGGCTCCAGCCCAAATCTCCAGGAATTTACTAACCCAGAGCTGGCAACCCTAAGGAAAGGTGCCCAAGTGCAAGGTCTCCCTTCTACTGTCCCACACTTACAACCTCCTAACTTTCTCTTTCCTCCCGTTTCTCCTGAATTGGAGATTCCTATACAACGCATGGGGTGATTTGTTTTCCCCAAGGATAACGCTCTCATGCTATGATTTTAATAACATTTGTTCCAATTATAAATTGAGCGTTTAAAGCATCCCGGGGAAACATAGATGGTTCCCAACAGTAGCTCATTCCTTTATACTCACTGATCTCCACAAATCTCTTAGTGAATACAATTAGCTTACTGGCTCAGCAGGGGGCTAAATGAAGACACAGCATGAGCAGACGTAATCAGGGCAAAATAACACACGGGCGCTATACTGTTTCCCAGTTCGACTGTATATTCTTTCCCCCTTGAGAGAGCCAGTTTGGTGTAGTTGAGAGCCAGTCTGGTGTAGTGGTTAAGTGCGCGGACTCTAATCTGGGAGAACTGGGTTTGATTCCCCACTTCTCCACTTGCAGCTGCTGGATGACCTTGGGCAAGCCCTAGTTCTAATAAGAGCTGTTCTTGAAAAAGAGCAGTTTCTGTCAGAGCTCTCTCAGCCCCACCTACCTCACAGGGTGTCTGTTGTGGGGAGGGGAAGGGAAAGGAGTTTGTAAGCCGCTCTGAGACACCTTCGGGTAGTGAAGGACGGGGGATAAATCCAAACTCTTCTTCTTCTTCTTGAGAATATAACCAGCAGTACCGTGACTGCTGTACCTCCTTCCCACATCATCGTGACACTTTTTTAAGCAGGAGGAAGCTACAAAACCCCTAAACTGAGGTCCCCAATGTGGCACCTGAGGGCATCATGATGCCCGCTGACACCTTTCCCAGTGTCACCAAAGTGGGCGGCGTCCGGTGGGCAGGGTCAAATGGGGCTTTTGCCCAGCCAGACCACTGGAGACTAGCTGACTAGCTGGGCACAAGGCATCTCTGTAGATCAAATTTTGAGTCCAGTGGCACCTTTAAGACCAACAAAGGTTTAGTCAAGGTATGAGTTTTCGTGTGCATGTACACTTCATCAGATACATTGAAATGGAAATTAACAGTTCACATATACAGAGGCAGATGCCTCTACATAGGTAAACAGCAAATCAGCATACAACTCAATGAAGCTGTTTTGACATATGCAAAGACTAAACAGCAATAACAAGCTAAGTTCCTATGCTCCAGAGCTGAGCCTCAGTTCCCATTTAACCCCGTGTGAAGTTTTGAGACCTGCGCCAACCTCTTGTCCTGTTAATGCTCTGCTCCTTAACTAAGCCCCATCACTTGACACTTTCCAAAAAGTCATAAGAACATAAGAGAAGCCGTGTTGGGTCAGGCCAATGGCCCATCCAGTCCAACATTCTGTGTCACACAGTAGCCAAAACCCAGGGGCCATCAGGGGGGCCATCAGCGGGGCCAGAACTCCAGAAGCCCGCCCACCTCAATTATCAGGCTGACAGCACAAGAGGATGCAGAAAGAAATGCATTGCCATGATGTGTTCACAAATCTGGGGTTGGGGAGGGAGGGTGAACAAGTATATTGCAGGGCTATTTTTGGGCAGGAACGCACAGGAACGGAGTTCCAGCTGGCTCCTGAGTTGGCCACGCCCAGCAGGAACTCATTAGCATAATAGGCCACACCCAACAGCAGGAACTCATTCGGATTGGCTACATCAGGGGTGTGTGGCCTAACATGCAAAGGAGTTCCTGCTACAAAAAAAGCCCTGGGTTTTGACAACAAACAAGGTAAACAGAATAAGAAGCAAAAGATGGGTGTGGCTGGATGACCACACTTTTGGTAACATGGGGGTGCGGCCTAATGTGCTAATGAGCTGTGCTGTCAGGGGTGTGGCCTAATATGCTAATGAGTTTCTGCTGTTGGGTGTGGCCTGTTATGCTAATGAGTTCCTGCTGGGCTTTTTCTACAAAAAGAGCCTATATTGTATATCTTTTTACAACCTTTTTATGAAACTAGAATTGTTGATGAATATCTAAATATTTAAACAGATAGATTATCATTTTCAACAAAAGTTAACTTGTGTTTTAAGGGTAATTTTGCAAATGTAGGTATGATCACCATCTCTTGGGTTCTTAGAGGGTTTTCTTTACTTTCTCCCTTAGATTGTAGTTTCCCTTTCCTAATTTTCTGTTTGTAGTTATTAGAAAAGCAATTTAAAAAAATCCCCTTCGGGGGGCCAAAAACAAAACAAAACAACAGCCAACCAATCGGATCCCTGGTCCATTTAGCCGAGCCTCGGAGAAGTCTGATCTGATTGGTGGCAGCTCACCATGGCCTCAAAGGAAGACCTCTCCGAGGACGGCTGCTTTTCGGTTGAGATGCCAGAACTGCTGCTGAGGCCTTCTGCGAGGGGACAGCCCTGGCCTGAACCTGCTCGTTTGGAAACAACAGCGTTACCTGCCCTGAACTGAGGCAAGCGTCCAGCACCGTCGTCTGCAAGTTCCGCAGCCTCTCGCAAGACCCGTCTGCGTTTTTCACCCACAGCCTCGTCTCCTCCTCGGGCGGGATCGAAAAGAGGCGCCGGGCTTCCTTAAGGACGTTGTCTAGGAGGAAGGGGATGGGAGCACACGGGGGGGGATTAGGAACATAAGAGGAACATAAGAGAAGCCATGTTGGATCAGGCCAGTGGCCCATCCAGTCCAACAATCTGTGCCACACAGAGGCCAAAACCCAGGTGTCAGCAGGAGGTCCACCAGCAGAGCCAGAACTCCAGAAGCCCTCCCGCTCTTGCCCCCCAAGCACCAAGAATACAGAGCATCGCTGCATAACAGCACAAGAGAAGCCACGGTGGATCAAGCCAATGGCCCATCCAGTCCAGCACTGTGCCATACAGTGGCCAAAACCCAGGTCCTGTCAAGAGGTCCACCAGTGGGGCCAGAACTCCAGAAGCCCTCCCACTCTTGTCCCCCAGTCTCCAAGAATACAGAGCATCACTGCTGCAGACATAGCTAACAGCCACTGATGGACCTCTGCTTCATATATTTATCCAATCAGCTGTCAATGCTTGTAGCTGCCACCACTTCCTGTGGCAGTGAATTCCACGTGTTAATTACTCTTTGGGTGAAGAAGTACTTCCCTTTATCTGTTCTAAGCCTCCTGCTCCTAAGCCAGTTTGGTGTAGTGTTTAAGAAGAAGAAGAAGAAGAAGAGAAGAGATTGGATTTATACCCCGCCCTTCACTTGGAGTCTCAGAGCAGCTTACAAACTCCTTTCCCTTCCCCTCCCCACCACAGACACCCTGTGAGGTGGGTGGGGCTAAGAGAGCTCTGACACAAACTGCTCTTTTTCAAGGACAGCTGTGCCCGAGCTTGTGACTGACCCAAGGTCACATCAGCAGGTGCAAGTGGAGGAGTGGGGAATCAAACCCGGTTCTCCCAGATTAGAGTCCGCACACTTAACCACTACACCAAACTGGTCCGTGTAAGTGCGCGGACTCTAATCTGGGAGAACTGGATTTGATTCCCCACTCCTCCACTTGCACCTGATGTGACCTTGGGTCAGTCACAAGCTCCGGCACAGCTGTCCTTGAAAAAGAGCAGTTTCTGTCAAGAGCTCTCTCAGCCCCGCCTACCTCACAGGGTGTCTGTTGTGGGGAGGG